CATGCAGCTGGCACGCCGGAGCGATTATCATGACTGCACCTATAGTATGTCCATTTTGTAAGCTTTTCACCGATGTTCCAGTCTCTCGCAATCTTCTCATAGGGGATCATGTCGCATGTTACGCAGCCTTTTCGTTTGCGTTCTCATTTCCACGCCTGCCTAGCTTTCTTGCTCAGACAAACAGCTCTCGCCCCTGTACTCACTTTCGCTCGACAGCATGGACACGCTCTGGCAACAGTATTATTGGCAACACTATTTGCTGCAACAGCAACAGCAGCCGACGGCCCACACCGGCCTTGCCAGTCATCCATACACCCCCACGGGTACATATGGCCCCATGACCCACGCGGTCCGCACTCAGCAAGCACACCACTCCCATCCTTACACTCCCTCCCCTTCACCTCCTCTCTCACAGCAGACACAGACCCATTCTCCCGCCACAACACACGAGTTCCCACCGCCGCCTCCGCCTCCACTCCCAACCACCGCCCCGCCCACTCCAACGCGGACCAGTTTCAAAAACAGCCCCACCCGCCCAGCTCCACCTGTACCGCCTGCCACGGTGCCCTTTCCCCAGCCAACCATCCAGGAATCCTGGCATCCCACAGACACCATTGGGACTCCAACTCAGTCCACGGTCACCAACTCCACCGCACCATACAACCCTCACAGTGGTCACGTCGGGTGGGCATTTCAAGCCTTCCAACATTCGAATTGGCTCCTGGCCTACCACGGCACTGCAGATTTTACGGCCAGGACGCTTAGCCACGGGAAGTACTGCGGTTTAATCCCAACTCGCAGTATAGCCGAATCAGTCTTTACCACCCACCTGCTTCAGGAGATCCGGGAAAACAGACTTGACCTGGACTGGACGCCATTGCTGAAGCCCTACACATTTCACAAGCCCGCGACATTCCAAACAAAACTACACAAGCCCGAGCCTTCCACGCTGCCCTGATCTCACTCCTTATCCAGCAGCTCAAAGCCCATGCCCCAGCCGCCGCTGAAGGTTCCGCCCTTCGCGCCTTGAAAGCCGCCTCCGATGACTTGGCCCGTGCCAAGGAAAAGCTACAAGCCCACGGCATGGAACTCACACCCCGCAAAGAAGCTGGCCGCTCTTCTGGCCCAGTGCCCCGGCCGCCCCAGAGGACCCACCAGCCCACAAGCCACCAGTATTGGCCGACGTCCTGCAACCTCCACACCCTTCCCTCAAAGACGACGTCCCTGATTCATGGACAGCCCCGGCGACCTGGATGCGCACATTTGACCCCGCCATTCAAGAAGCTGCAACAGAAGTGCTGCGCATCTTGCAAACCAACAAAGTTTCCATTGAGCAGCTCAAGGAAGCAGCCACCCGCTACGGATTGCCGCTGGGCCGCGTCAACAAGCTGACTATCAAGAGCCTGCAACACATTGTCAGCGTAGGAGCAGCTCTCGCCTGCTGACTCTCCATCCACAGCCAGCAACTGCCGAACCCTACTCACCTCAAGCAACTCTTTGACCTCCACCGAGCCCTCTCCACCCTCATACACAAAACCCAATACATTGAACACGCCGAAGCTATCTTTGCTGCGGGCCTTATTCACCTCACTCTTCTCTTTTGCTATCCATCTTCCACTCAACAATCGAAGCAGTGGCGCCAAAGCTTCAGCCAACTTCACGTCCTACCACACAACTATCACTACCACAACTTCCTCTCATCCCATTCCGTCTACGTCAAACTCCACTTCAACAACACTGTGCCTCACCGCTGCTACCACCAGCATGGCCACTTCTATGTCGGCTCCACAGCCATTGGCATTCCACACAGAGAACACAATCGACGAGCCAAGCTCAAGCAAATCCAAAACAACATCCCAGTCTCAGCAGAACTCTCACTACGCTACTGGCACTCTCGTGACAACATACATCACTACACCACCATTCAGCTCTCATCCCACGACAACTATGACCAGGCCTGGATCCGTGAACACCATTTCATCTCCAACTGGATGCCGTCCCTCAACTGGCCCTTCATCTCCCAACACCTTAAACTCAAGGCTCAGGGCTGGCAATTCACAAAACATCGAGCACGCTTCTATTCACGCCTTGCCACCCACAAAAGACTCTTCCGCCGCTTGCGCCGCAGACAGCAGACGATCGGGGAGCCACACCTCTTTACCTCAACAAAGCATCACGCCCTCACCCTTCTCCGTAACCTCCAAAAGCTTCTTTTGAAGCGGCCAAGCAACTACGCAGTGGCACCCATACAGACAGACCTTGAGGTTTACGCCATTCATCGGATGGCTTCGAACCTGGAAGAACCTGGTCGCAGTCGGGCCTTACACATCATCAACAAAGCTCTTCAATACCGCAACCTGACCCTACCAAAGCCAAACATTCCACTTACAGTACCTTTTCTGGCCCATAGCGACTTCACCAAACACTGTCAGCAATGGCTCCAAACTACCATCCAACAACACAAGCATTTGGCTATCCCGCTGCACCTCCCCACACACCGGCTACGCGAAGCCGCCCACAAGACACTCAGAGCACAGCTCCACAACCACCGCGCTTGGGAGGACACGCTACACACACCTCCAGACCCTTGCGACCTACCGTGTGCTTGTTCACATCTCAGAGCCACCCACACCTCCCATCAACGGCCATTACATTCTCACCTTAGATCAGTTGGCACTCCCAGCACACCGCCGCATTTTCCTGGATGCCAACATGAACAGTACGTTTTACCCCAGCAAAGCACGCTACTTCCTCATTTTCCAGACAGCATTCACCAAATGGCTTCGTCTCCAAGGCCTTCCCACATCGCTCAGCCAACACCTTGAGCCTTTCCTTCAACACCAATGGCGCCTTCACACCGCACAGCTCAAGCAACATCCACGCTTCACAGCTCGTCTCATCAGACATCTTCAGCAATACCTGGGCGACAAGGTCGTGCTCCACCACGCCGACCACGAATTACAGCAGCTCCGCGTGTTCTGCCCTCGCCAATATTTTACTGGAGATCTCAACACCTGGCAGGCCACAGAGCTTTTCGAACCTCTACCACACCTCACCGCATCCAACATCCACGACCACCTTTCTGCCACCATCCCCCCCACCCTGCGCGCTCGCTACAAATGGGGCTTCCACCAACACTTCACCATACCTACGGAGTTGTGCACCTGAAAGCTAAGAAGCAATGGCAGAAAGGCCGCACCATTATCTCATACTTTCAATCCTTGAGCGGCAATCTTCTCCGCATTACTAGCAGAGCACTTGACATTGTACTCCAACACATTTTTCCACAACATCCAGGACAACTATCCATCCCACAACTCTGGCACCATTTTCATTCCTACCTCACCCAAACACCCACCGATGTCAACCTCCACGCCACCAATGACGACCTCGTCGGTTTTTTCAACTCCGTCCCACAACACCGCCTTATTGACGCAGTTCACTCTTTGATCCAACAATGGCAATCTCAGCAGGCCACACATACTTTGACAGTGGACACCAAGGCCACAGGCAACCCTTTCCACCGTTCCCATGTTGGCAGGCGTTATATCAAACACCCCACACAACGCACGATCCATACATCCGACATCACGACCATTGTGGCAATTGCACTCAACACCTGCATTTTCCGGGCATACAAGCAAATTCGAGGAGCTGGGCCCAACTCTCTCCCGCCCTATGCAACGTTGCCATCACCCTCATCGAGCATTCTTGGCACCAACTCCATGACAACCTCCTCCAGCACACCGCCCTTCACTTCACATTCTACAGATACGTGGACAACCGATTCATAGTACACAACGAACACTTCATTCAGCATCCAGCAATACAAACCCTGATCCACCACAACTTCTTCGGCGATCCAGTCGAATTAGAAACCGTTGAAGACATGCACCTCTTGGGCTTCAACATCGACCTCACCCAACGCACTATCACCTACATCCAGCCCACCCAGCCCTGGAAAATCAGAGACTCCACCAGCGCCGGTAGCCAGCGCTTGCCTCTCTCCGGCTTAGCTTCCAGATTACATGCCATTTACACCTACTCCTTTCCACCCGCAACCGCATCGGCAGCTGCTGAAGAGCTAATCCGGCTGTACGTCCAAAAAGGACGTGATCCCACCGAATGCCGGCTTTGTTTGAGAAAAAACGAGTGCCACCTTCACCGTTCACACACTCGCGCCGGAATCGGCTGCTTGTGTGTGTCAACCCCTGTACCTAAGGGTTCCACTTCTCGTTTTGGTTTCGAACTTCGTTTTCAGCAGGGGGCTCACGGGTCTGTTCCTGGCGTGAGCCAACGAAGCTCCAGGTTCAGACTAGGATATCGAAAGAGGACGCTCTTTCGACGTACCTGCTACTGAAACAGTTGATCAAGCCGTTCCACTTTCTGCCTTTTTGCTTCATGGTGGTTCATGATATATACTCCCCCCAAACCATTTCCCTCAGCCGCTTTCAGCTGCCGCGCGCTGACCGCTTGCGAGTGTCTTGCAACATGATGTTCAACAATACTGTTTTTGCGGACTCATGCACCTTTCTGTTACCTCACCTTCCTTCTCAGCGTGGGAACTGAGTTAACTGCAAACCAATGTCAGTGTGTGTGTGAACACCCAAGACGTGAAACGCAGCCTCAAGGCAGCGGGTTTCTGGTTGCACAACCTTCGAGCAAAGTTCAACTGGCATTCCTGAAATTGCTATTAAAGTGCGATGTTCGAAAGAGAGAGAGAGAGAGAAAGAGAGAGAGAGAGACGAATTGCACCATCTCCACTAGATCAATTTGCAAAGCCTGAAAGTTCTAAGAAATAGGAGAACTGATCACCCTCAAAATTTTTAATAAAGAATTCCTTACCCGTATCAAGTTTCAAGTGTAAAATTCACACGTATTGTTTATCTTCGTTGGTCTTCTAGCAAATTAGTAGTACGAGTTGGTACCACACCTCAAATTGGCAAGCACTTGTTCTGAACAACAAAAGTTACACAAAAAATCACCACTTGGCACTGCACCAGCAGCAGCAATCGTTCTGCTACGGTCGGAACTCCTGCCACCACTATGTATCCAAGCTACATTTAGAAATGGTTGGCGTACGTTCATAATTAACATAATATGTCACTGTTAAGACTTGAACCGCACCACAAAAGAACTGCAAACAGTTGAAGGCCTCATTGCAGCGCGTTCCAACAGCCTCAAGAATCAGCATTGAAAACTTCAAAAAGCGTGCAACCTTGCTAACTTGACAAAAAAATAAAATTAAAAACCCCCGCATCTCGATATGCCCACCTCCACCAACAAGAAGGCACTGGTTTGATTTGAACTTTAACGGCGTCAGGCGTCTGACTTGTGAGGACCCAAGTTTCACAAGTTGATTGCCTTCTAGAAGGCAAGATACGGAGTGGTGGTGAAAGCACTGTAAACGCACGTCGTCAATGTGCAAATTCACTCAAAATCAATTTTCCCAAACAAGTGACAAGTGCAAACGCGCTCTTCAATGACGACATTCCAAGAATTCGTACTGGATGCCCTCATTTGTCCCATTTCTGACGATGTTAGCTTAGTGCAAGATTGACAAAAGTGTGCCAATCCCAGAAGCAACCTTTACCTTTCATACTGGACAAAACCATTGTTTTTCCACGGCACTGTGCCCTATCATTCAAGGTGCAATGCAGCAAAAAACGCCATGTATTGGCTTTTGATGGCAATGTTGGCACTTCTCATGATGGTCAAAGGCGGACACACGGCATCCAAACAAACTTTACTGTCTCAGAAATGTGTCAATGCCTTCGGGGCAATACTCGTGAGACAAGAAAGGATCATCCCTTGGCACATCGTCCCAGACTTTCCACAGGCGCGATCGCCCCACGAGTATCGCCACAGTAGTAACTACTGTTGCGGCTACTTGTCACCACTCGTTTCCTCAGTGGCCTCGCCCACTTGAAAGACAGAGACGCTGACAACATCGATGCCACTCAGGAGGGTAGGCCAAAGGATCCCTCACAAAAGCAACCTCCATCACCAGACGCCACGCCCTAAAAGCTTGCTTCCCCTCTCAATGATGAGTTGGTGGGTACCGATTCCAGGCAGGAAGGGCCAGGGCTATCAAAGCAAGGAAATATAATATATATATATATATTATGTATAAGTATGTAAAAATTAATGTCGCATCAAAAAGAATGTTCATTTAAAGCAATAACCAATCATCCCACAGACAACAACATACACCTTTTTCTTTGGGCCAACTGTGATGCGTTATGGTCGAGTGCGCGCACACGACTAGTGAAAAATACCCCCCGCGGCACGGCCCGATCACGGGCTGCACCGAAGAGGCAGTAGATCAGCCCGGATCGACCTGACCTACTAACGCATCGAAGTGGAGAATGATGCGGATCAAGGCTCAAATCGTTTCAAGCTCAAAGCGGGCGGCTGCAAAAACAAACTGAACGGCTCAGGCCACCTACACCGGGAGCTTTACCACTCCAAACATGGTGCAAAGGTGCCACATGCCGTGAATTACTTTGTGCACTTGGAGTGCCAGCCAAAATGGATGCGGCAAACCTTCCGGCTCGCAATGCTACGTGAGCAGAAAGCCGACAAATGAGTTGGGAGGCGGCTGACGTTCCGGTTGGCACCGCAAACGACGATTCCCGCGGGAGTTGGCCCACTTTTAGGAGAAGGTTGACTAGATACCATTCACGCTCACCATTCCTTTCGGCTGGTCGGATTTGCCCTTCTCCTTGCTCTTGCCCTTCTTCTGCTTGATCTTGCCCTTGCCGGACCCTTGGCAGTCTTGCTCTTGCCCTTCGACGAGGTTCGATAGAAGCGGAGCCCTTCCCAATCCGGGCAGTTGACCTTAGCGCGGACTTACAAAACACCCAGATGGAGCAGCCTTGCCCTTGCTCTTGGCTTTGTCTTCGGCTTGATCAACAGGAAAGAAGCCAGATGTTGTGCCCATCCTCGTTGGCGGCATCAGGCAATTGAGTTGGCAAGTGAAGAGAGGTTTGCAAGCCGAGCCCTGGGTCTTCCCACGAGGTCGCAAACTGGCCGAGTGTAAGGAAGCCTTTCGCTGATCGCAGAGCGGCCTACAGCTTGCGTAAGTTTGTGAAAACACGGAAGCGCAAAAGCTTCAAGCAAGCCTCAACCCAATCAACCAAGGTTCAACCAAGCAAGACAACAAGTTCAACTGGTCAAGATCCCTCAGAAGGCAAGGCTTTAGGAGTCTCACAGGGTTGACTCCTCGCTCTTGCTCTTTTCATCATCGGGATCTTGAAAGCCAGAAGCTTTCAAGAGGATACCTGACAGGTCAAAACGACAAACGAGCCTTGTGAAAGTTCCTGCCAAGACAAAAGTGCACAAAAGCTCAACTCAACAGCAAGCACAAGGAATCTAGAGTCAACCCTCTAGTTGCCAAAACCTTCTTACTGTTCTCACTGCACTTCTTGAGACACAACCCTGCTAGTTACAAGCGACTGCATCCAATCACGTGGACATGACATCAAATGAACTGCGCAGAAAGGAAGCTAGATGTGCAACCCTTTAGTTAGCAAACCCTCCATGCTACTGTTTGACATCTGGACGCAAACTGCTCTCAACCCCTGATCTTTCAAATCTTCCACCTCATCTCGATCCCTGGCTTCTCCATTCCAATCCCTGTGCAATCCACTAAAGAAAGCAAAAGAAGAAAAGGAAACGCAGAGAAGTGGAAGCCACACAAGACAATTCCTGGACATGAAAAACTGCTGAAGTTCAAACTTCTTCATACTTCTGAATGCGGTTCCAGAAGAAAATCCACACTATCGGAATCTTTCCTTCTCTCCAGCGCTCTCTGAATGGCTTAGAGTATTATTACACTCCCAGCCAAGTCCAAAGATCAAGGATCAAGCCCTTCAAATGCCGGGGCGGTACTCCTGCCACGAATCGATTGTCCTAAGCCGAGAACGAGCATTTACAAAAAATCTTCAGATGAGCTGTGTACAAGTGTGTGTGCAACTCTTGTCAGTCCTGCTGCAATTGCCTCACCCAAACGGCTCTGTTCTGGGTTGGAGAGGTTGTACCTTGCAGGGCATGAAAATGACAAGTTGGGTCTACTTTGCAAGCTCTTACTTCAGAACTCCAGAGAAAACTCAACTAAAGAAATCTACAAATCTTCAACAAATGAAGCATGGTCGTCATGTGGAAATGCTCATTGAATGCGTGCGTCGATGTAAACCCATGCTATTTGAAAAGAGTAGTGATTTGTTGTTTGGTAGTCAGTTACCGACACACAAGATTTGTGCTATTCAAACTTAGAAATTGAATGAAACGGGCAAAGCTTTTTTGCACAGGATCTTTTAGTTTAGACAACTCGAATGCTGTAATGCCCTCTACCCATCCAGCATGAACAGCAAGAACCAATACATAGATTCGCAAAAATGTTCACAGAAGACAGGTAGGAGTCTTCCCGCTTGTGCCAAGGCACGCGGTACCTCTGGCGTTTCGTTGAAGTCCAAGTAGTTGCTCATTGCTATTGGCTTCCATCCCCCATAAACATCTGGTATCGAGCAGCTTGAAAGAAACTTCTCCACACCGACTGCTTCAGGTGGGATGTTTCGAGCTTCCAACAAATAGCCGAGGTATTCACGTGCCTGTTCCTTCGCCCACCTGTATTTTTCTGGCGTTTCTTGTTCTGCAGATACTCGCGATCTCTCACCATTCAGACTACCAATCTTCATTGCTAAGGCTTCTGGACTCGTAGGCTGCTTTCAGCAAAAAAATCCATTCAGCCCTCGACTTGTGGAAGTCTTCATCGTCTTCGACGCCGTTATCAAAAATCATGTTCATGCTTACACCAGCTTGCGTGAGGGCTGGAAAAACCATGCGGGCAACGCTAACAACCAATTCGAAGCTGCTGACCCTGAAGAATCTCATCATTTCCGCGCGAAAGCCACCATCAAGCAGCACTGTGTAATTCTTGGACACTCTGCCAGCTGGCAGTGCCCTCAATGATGCGATGGACTTGCCCATCCCAGGCTCAGCATGCACAGCTGTGCACCCTGATCGATTGACGGCCAGAACTTTTGTCATCAGCTTCTGGAATGGAGTATCATCTACTACCCTCGTACCCAGATTGGCTTGCCGCTGAGAACTAATCCCCAGGACTGAAATTGTCTTGTTGTTGTCTACGGCAAGCGCGATCTCTTCGCAAAGTTTTTCCACATGCTTCAAGACGATATTATCGTCGGTGCTTTTGTCGACCTCGAGCTTCAACTCTGCTCCGGGCATCACTGACGACCACTTTTGAATCAAATCAGCGGACTGCCCCATTTTGTTGAAGTTCTCCACCGCTTCAAAGCCAGTGGCGATAGCTGCTGCTACGCTCTCTCCTCCAGGAAAAGCGTAGCGCACATGGCTACGACCTGCTGGGTGTGTCGTGTATCGAGCGCCAGGCCGAACAAAACAACGAAGATTGAAGAAATGCGAGGTCGCAGTGAGAGTCAAAACCAAGGCAACCATTGCTCGGCTTCTCGGACGGGACATGGTTCAGACAGATTTCTAAAGATTAAACAATCTAAAAAACAAACGGGGCGCTCTCACAGGTTGTGTTGAGCTAGTCCGACAGCTAGGACTGAAGCCTGGTTCTTTCGTTTGCTGAATGCCAGCGATATATTTGCTGCGATCATGCTACAGCCAAGGGACAAATGCTGTGCACGAGCAACTGCATGCCACAACAAGATTAGCCTCATGCAAGCCATGCTAGTCCCACAAAACTGCTGTGACTGTTTGTCCAGCAGTTGAGAGTCAAACACTAAACAAGTTTGATAGCAATTTGAAGGGTGCTGGAATATTCAGGTTTCAGAAACACACATGTTTTGTTCGGTGGTGTTTCTCTTCTTCCGTGAGCTGGCATCATTGCACCGCTCACAACAAGCTTGCCGTTCTTGGTGGTTTGTCTGGTTTTATATGTCCGCCGCACATCATGAACATTTGCAGCAGCAGGGTAGTTTGCAAAGGATCTGCACAAACAATCATATGTATGCTGTTGTCTTGAGGAACTAGCATGCTTGACTTGCCGCATAAGAGTATCCTGCTTGATGTCATATTGTATTTTATTTCAAAGTCATGGAACTGGCTTCACCTTTCCATGAAACTTAGCCCAAGACCTTTCAGATCAAACTCAATGTCAAAAACTTGTTTGTAGATAAAACAAATGCCTTTGGGTGATGATCTGAACACTTCCGTCTCGCATCAACTGGTTTTGCTTTGGCGCTTGAGCACTTTCCGTGTCGATTTGGGTTTGAATATTTGGCTTGGGAAAAGCATGCAGAGGTTTCGGTAAAAATCTGGTTCGGATTTAGGGAAATTGAGTCCGTTTGCGAAAAGGGGCTCCGTGTTTGGGAAGAACTGGCTCGGTTCTTGGGAAAATCTGTCACTGATTTTGAAAAATGTGACACTGATTTTGGGCAAAACTGCCACCGACTTTGTTGGGAACATCTGCCACCGACTTTGAGGAAATCCGTCACCGACTTTGGAAAAATCTGCCACCGACTTTGGGAAAATCTGCCACCGGCTTTGGGAAAATCTGCCACCGACTTTGAAGAAATCCGGCTTTGGAAAAAATCTGCCACCGACTTTGGAAAAATCTGCCACCGGTTTTGTGAAGCTCCGTTTTTGCGAAAAACATGCTCCGTTTTTGGGATGAACATGCTCCGTTTTTGGGACAAAGTGGCTCCGTTTTGGTGAAAAACGGCGCAGTTTGGGGGAAAAATTGGTTAGGTTTTTGGATTGGCTTGGACAAAGGTCAAGTTTCACTGTTTTGAACGCTAAGCATGTTTGGGTTTGGATTCAGGGATTTAAAGGTGGGTGTCTCTAAAAATGGGTCAACCGGTAGAAGGGTAAACTGCTGAAACCTATAAACTTTGATGTCGAAATTGTCTTGGGGTTTGTGTTAAGGACTTGTATAGTATGAGATGCCACAAGCACAAACTGAATATACATAGTTCCCATTGAGTAAAAACACTTAAACAAACATGCATATATATAACTAACTATATACACAATATGCCTTGTTACTTTGTAAGCAACGGAGTTGAAATCCCGATGACAAATCAAACCTTTGACTTTATTTGGAACGGCTTTGGCAACAAAGAACTGACTGACAGCGAAACATCTTCATCGGAAGAAAGCTACAAAGCCAACTCATCCATTAACAAGAACACCAATGCTGAATGGAGAAAGCAGGACGACGGATATTACAACAGAGAACCGAAGGGCGAAACGTATTTGATAAAGATATTACCAAGAGAAAACGAAACAACCGTGCGTATGCGATATATGCGGCTCTGCCATGAGCTGCAGGTCAAACTTGGCAAAGCACAAGAAAACCAAAAAGTGCCAAAGGTGTCTAGTGTAAGTTCATTAGGATTTTATGATACAAGAAAATATCATAAAACTATAATTTAAGTATTTTTTAATGACGAGATTGGAAAAAGAAAAGGTATTGGAAAAAAAAATTACGACGTGGAGGAGGGCTTCGGTTCGGTGAGGGACTTGTACGAAAGGCTAGGAAAGTCGATGTAGGCATAACTTTGGATATGGTTTCACAGTGGATGAAATCTCAACCAAACAAACAAACAAGAAACTACAAGAATTACAATTCTTATACTGCCCCTTATCCTAAATATGAATTTCAAATCGATTTGATGATTATGACAAGTCTGTTGAGGAATGTTAAAAATGAAATAAAAAATCAACCTACCTTTGGCTTGGTATGTATAGACATTTTCAGTAAAAAATGTCATATAGTGCCAATGGAAAATAACGACACTGATGATGTTTATGATGCTGTAATGGAGTGTTTCAAGGTATTAGGTCAGCCATTATCAGTCTATTCTGATGACGAAGGAGCATTAAACAGTAAGAAATTACAAGCCTATTTTAAAGGAGAAGGGATAGAACACATAATAACAAAAACATACAAAAACACACGCTAATCAGGCTGAGAGAATGATAAGGACAATTAAAAAGATGGTTGCTGATAGGCTAAAAGCAAATAAAGATAAGACTTGGGTAGATATGTTAAAACCATCACTAAATAGATACAATACTCAAGTTCATAGTTCAACTAAAATGAGCCCTAACAAAGCGCACGACCTTAAAAATGGGCTTGAAGTAAAGTCTAATCTTGTTTTAAAAGAAAAACATAGTAGGAAATACCCAAACATTGGGGAGGGAGATTATGTTAAAGTGTTTGATAACGGCAAAGGCAACTACACTGCAAGAAAAGAAACGAAAAGTCAATGGACTGATAAAAAATATTAAGTAATACTCAAAGGCCGAGACATGCTGAACAATACCTATTATAAACTGGATGGACTAAGCAAAAAATACCACCGTCATGAACTGCTGCTACTTGTAAATGATTGACATTTTTTAGTTTGCTGATTTGTTTTAAGGTTATATATATTTTTTGACAGTTGAACCACAGTTATCACACACAGTGTTTTCTGCTATTTGTTCCTTGTTTTTGTCTCTGTATTGTTTGTTGTATTCACTTATATGTTCTTTATTGTTTTCTTTCCAACCTTTATTGTATTCAGTGTAGTAATCTTTCTTTCCTTCTCTTTTTGCCTTCAATTTGACTGTATGATTTTCTCTATAGATTTTGTTTGTTTCCTTTTTTCTTTGTTTGTTTTCCTTTCTATACCTTTCCGGCGTTCTTCCAACAATAATTTTGTTGATACATTTAGTGCTCTCAATGTAATATCCTTCTCTTGCTTCCAATTCCTTTTTGTTATTACAGGGGTAATCGTCAATCCAAATAACTTTACAATTATCTATACCGTATTCATCAAATATATCAAAGGTAATCGTCAATCCAAATAATTTTACAATTATCTATACCGTATTCATCAAATATATCAAATGATGTATTCCTTCCGTGCTTTCCCTTATTATGTGAGTTGTATTGATGTCTGTGTCTTACCATTCTCATACTCAATTTTTCACATGTTGAGCCAATGTACCATTTCTCAAAGTCAGGACTGGCTATTTTGTAAATTTGTCCTTTTTCATATCTATTCATATCTATATTTAGCTTAAGTCATCTTTTCTTTATATAGAGATGTTAGATAATGACCATACGGTAGGCTTTCTGTGTCTGAAATCCATAGGCGCTTGTTGTCATAGTTGCTTAAAGCATATTTTGTTTGGTTTATGCTGTATATTTGATGGTTCTTACTTCGTATGGTGTTGAACTGGACTTCTTCTTTTAATATTCTGTTCAATGTATCTTCATAAGTTTTATAACTTAATTGATTACTAACTTTATGCTTTACTACACCTTTACTTTTCTTATGTTAACTGTCGTCTCCATACACTTTGTAGCAATAAGCCTTTGGTTTCAATCCTATGAAGTTAGTTATTATTGTACCGTTCATTTCATCCTTAAACTTGCCTAATACCTTTTTGTTTGATGTATCATAGTTAGGATGTTCAACATTGTAATCACTAAAATCCATATATCCATTTATTTCTTTGAAGTCTCTGTATAAATCATCAGTATCAACCTGTATTACATAACTATCAATGTCAGTAAAGACCAACTTAATATTATCTTGATATTTTGGTTTCAAAACATCATAGTAAAACGAATACATGTGAATTTTAGAATAGTCTAAAATGGACATACCCATATAGACAGGTTTGTTTAACTCTATTGTTTGTTTATCCTTTTCAACTATTACAAGTTCATCATTTATACTGCGTCGGTGTTTGTATGTTGGTCTATTTACGAGTTTTTGGAAGCGTTCAGCGGCATTAACCAACTCAAAATCACCGTGTTTTCTAATATGTTCCATAGTTTTGCCATAAACAGGATTGTTCATTAATTTAAACAAGGCCTTTTCAAAATCATTGTTTGCTTGTTTTCTTTTGTCAGTGTTGAATTCAATGAAAGGTTTTAAGAAGTGTGCTTGTTTGAAACTTATTGCTCTATTGACTTTCTTTAGTTTCAAGCCGTGTTGTAGATAGAATTTAAACCCGGATATGTGTAATACAAATTTCTTTTTATCCAGAACATTTAATACTAATTTGTTTGTTTTCTCGTCAGTTGCTTCTTTTCCATGACAGTATTTATGAATATCCTTTCGAACTTGAGAAAGCATATTCTCAATAATATTCATAATTTCATGCGCTAATGGGTAGTCCTTGTGTAAGTCGTGAATTTCTTTTGGATATTGAAATCAACTTCCATAATATAACCTCTTTCATCATCATCGGTGTAATTCAATATTTTCTGTTCATCAATTTTGTTGTAGTGCCATTTGAAATTATCATAAGGCAATTTCTTACACATTGCTAAACCAGCATCCAAAAAACTTATATAACTTGATGGTTTAGATTTATCAAGTTCTTAAGTTCCAAACTTGAGCCACCATCCTATTAGCTTACTACGTTCCTCATTTGCGATTGCACGAACAGAAAAACACAGCGCCAAAGCGAAGCAGTTGTCACACCTTTTTCTTCCGCAAGTTTGGACAAGGGAATGTCTCGGTCAAAGCATCGAAAACGACTCTGGTCAG